GGGCCATTTGTATTTTGCACTCTATACACGAGCATGGGTAGGGACATAGAATCCGTCGTCACCACCCAATCGTTCTCCTCGAGGCATAGGCCTTGTTTCAAGACCTGGATCCATGCTAAGGGGATCGATTCCTGTATTTCTTGAAGACCCTGAGCCATGTTCGGGAACGGACTGGTTTTGGCCTCCAGGCTGTCTAGCGTATACCACGAGTGAGCGAGGTCATCCCACAGATCCCCTACTTTGTAAATTCTTTTTTTTACCCAGTGTTTCCACTTGGAACTCCCCTTGAGTGAGAAGGGAAGGCCGGTTTGATCCACAATCTGTGGGTGGCCGAACAGCGGCTGGCGCCAAATTTCCTCCCATTTTAGCGGTGTTGGTGTTTGGGCCGGGCCCCTTTCTCTCCATAGCGTGATCATGTCTGTCCAGAGCTGGTCTACCCGCAAGTCTTGCCTAACGCGCCCGGCTGGGGTGTCGTCTGTGTCAGTTCTGGGGCACGCTTTTTTCGTTTCCTTTCCTCAATTTGTAGAAAATCGTAGACTCGTGTGACCACACGACCTTGCCCTGAGTGCAAAGTGTCAGGGTTGCGACTTCGTCCTGGACGAAGTCCGCACGTGTGACCACACAGGGACCAAATGACCCAAATAACCCTACCCAGATGCCTCAAATTTTTGGTTCTTTTGGTCCCCGTGTGAGTATGCCCAAAGTAGGGTTAGCCAGGTGTGGCGGATGGCGAGTAGTGGAACGAGGCCCTCAATTTCGCCTCACACTACCTACCTACCACCACTACTAATTATAGGCATACGGGGAATCCCATAGCAGCCAGAATTGTGAACTGCTCCCAACCTGCAGGTGGGCGATACCGGCCAGGGGACAGCTGGTAGCATCAGGGACAAGGCCAAGATGACCAATCCCTGTGCCTCCCCTCAGGTCCCCTCCCCAACGAACATCAGCAGTCTGCTCAATGCCGATCGGGAGATCCAGTGGTCTATCTCTAGGTGGCGCGCGCCAGGCATGCCCAGTAAGGTACATGAGGCCGATGGGGATTGAACCCACTACCGCCTGAATGCTACTTGCGAGCCTTACCAACTGAGCTAGGCCGCTGGATTGGCGTGGACTTGACACGCAAGACACGCTAGTCTCTCTCGTTCTCTGGGACAGGCCTCCCATTCGAAGGTCAGTGTGGCGGCGTGTCTCTCTCTCTCTCTCTCTCTCTCTCTCTCTCTCTCTCTCTCTCTCTCACACACACACACACACACACACAAACACACAAACACACACACACACACGTACACAAACACGCACACACTCACATATACACACACAGTTCCTCCGTCGCCTCTTTGGGCGGTCGTCCATGCGCAACATCTGTCCATGCCCACCATAACGCGGGAGGCTCTTGGACATCTCTCTCTCTCTCTCTCTCTCTCTCTCTCTCTCTCTCTCTCTCTCTCTCTCTCTCTCCCCGGTCGTCCATGGACAACAGGTGTTGCTGCCCGCTAGAGCCCGTCAGGCGTTTGGATTGCAATTGACAGATCTTCTCGTCCTGACCGGTCTTGCTGTGTAGATGTGTCGGCGCCTGTGTTCTGCTTTGCTGCCGTCGATGGGATCGTGCGAGTGTTTCCTATTCCCCTCTGTAACGTAGTTGCTTCTCTGCCTCGCGTTATTCTTCTGAATCATTTGTTCATCGCCTGTTGCCTTGAATGGATGACGACGTTGTGAAGGTTGGTTCCGAGGATAATTTGTTCTTCGCCTGTGTTCCTGCACCCCCTACCTCGGCAACCTGAGCCTAACCAACAATTATCATCACCTTCATTTTTCAGCCTTCCATTTTCACTGTAGACGAACTCACGAGGGATGATACTCCCGACTCTCAGCGTAAGTCTTGATACAGTAGTTCTCAATAATAATGCCTACATCGATTCAGGGCGATCGCTGACAATCAGGCAAAGCGCCCTCTTGCCCTCTCTCTCTCTCTCTCTCTCTCTCTCTCTCTCTCTCTCTCTCTCTCTCTCTCTCTCTCTCTCTCT